AGCTATAGAAGGCTTCAGTGGGAACATGATAATAGGTCACAATGAAAAAGAATAAATTTAAGATAAGGGACAGAAAAATATAGCGAGAGAGACAGGAAATAGGTCTCAAAATCTTGAGAAAGTTAATATTGTTTATTGATTATAGGATACCACCTTAGAATCTGGAATGTTGTTCTATTTAATTATCCTTTCTTCCTGGTATTTTCAATCTTCTTTTCTCTAGTGCCAGCATTTCTTTGATCCAGTCCTATCTTATGCCCTGTACCACCAAATGTCTTATTTCATCACATCTTTTATCACATCTACTCCCATCTCTACTTATTTCAGCTGCCTCCTTCCTTACCCCTGTACTGAAACTGTGCTCTTGGCTATGACTAATGACCTGATCATTGTCAGACTACCCATTCATTAGGGAAATGCCCTTCTTCCTTGGCCTCTGTGACTCTTACCCACCCTTGTTCCCTGCTCCTCCTCAATCTCCACTAATTCCTTGTCCACCTCCTTCCTTCCTGAATGTAGCATTTCCCAAGCTTTTGCACTTTTTTCCTGCCGCTACCAGGAAATCCATTCCAACCTATGACTTCAAATATCACCTCTCTAATGACACCAAACTAAATCACCAACCTTGATGTCCCTTCTGAGCACTTCCCAATGGTCTAAAGGCCTCTCCCTGGGTGTTCTATCAGAATGTTCAAGCTGAACACACTGTCGCCATGGCTAGTCCCAAACTGTCTTATATTCACTCTCTGTTAATGGCATCAATGTCCATGCTTCCCTCTCCTTTGACCCTATTCAGGGTTTCCTCAAGTGTTTATGTCAATTCCAGCTTTTCAGAGGCTCCTGCACTCAAACTGTTTTCCTCTTATCTAATCTGTTGCAACGGCCTCTTGCTTTAATATCACCCCATCCAACTCATACATGCAGTAAGCACAGGTGTCCTCACACTATGGTTGACTCCCTCTCCTTCTCCAAATCCCTTGTTGGCTTTCCATTGACTCAGTATGAGCCTATACCTCTCACCTAAGCAAGCAAAGCCCTTCCACCTCAATTTCTCTTTCCAGATTTTTCTGCAAGTACTCCCCCAATGAACATTTTGCTCTAATCAAGAGAGATGATTCATGGTTCTCTAAATACACTTTGAGCTTCACATCTTGAAATTCCACCCACTCATTTAAAGTTTTCACAAAAACCTTTCTCCCAGTGTCATTTTCCAGTCACAAAACTTATCTATTCAACTTATAGAAAACAAAGAATTTAACTCTTTTTTTAACCTTACTATCTCTATTATCTTAAATAACTGTCAAGAATTATTCCCTCAGTGTTATGCTGAGTGAAATAAGTCAATCAGAGAAAGACATGTATCATATGACCTCACTGATATGAGGAATTCTTAATCTCAGGAAACAAACTGAGGGTTGCTGAAGTGGTGGGGGCTGGGAGGGATTGGGTGGCTGGGTGGGTATGTGCTATGGTGAGCACTGTAAATTGTACAAGACTGATGAATCACGGATCTGTACTTCTGAAACAAATAATGCAATATATATTAAGAAAAAAAAAGAAGAAGAAGATAGCAGGAGGGGAAGAATGAAGGGGAGTAAGTCGGAGGGGGAGACGAACCATGAGAGACGATGAACTCTGAAAAACAAACTGAGGGTTCTAGAGGGGAGGGGGGTGGGGGGATGGGTTAGCCTGGTGATGGGTATTAAAGAGGGCACATTCTGCGTGGAGCACTGGGTGTTATGCACAAACAATGAATCATGGAACACTACATCAAAAACTAATGATGTAATGTATGGTGATTAACATAACAATAAAAAATTATTAAAAAAAAGAATTATTCCCTCAATATGATAAACACTTCAAGACGCAAGATGGTCTCTTCTAGAATGAAAAACAAATTTAAAACGAGCTTGAATTGAACAGTCTAGACTTTACTTTTTGATTTGCTAGTCTTAATTTTTAAGATTATAAAAATACTAAATACTTGTTTCAAGAACTTCAATCATTACCGAAATATGTAATACTAATAGCTAATATTTATTATGTGCCAGGTAATGTACTAATTGCTTTATGTGAATCATGTTACTTAATCTTCACAACAACCTTATGAGGTAAGAGTTAAAATTATCTGCATTTTATTAATGAATAAACTGAGCCTTGAAGAGGTTAAATAACTTGACCAAAGTTGAAAAGCTAGTAAGAAGTACAGCTGCGATTTGACTAAGTCACCATCCCAGGAATCAAAAATCCTTATAATCCCACCCTCAGATTAAAATCCTATCCTCAGTTAAAAATTTCAACTTGGAAAAAAATTTCACCTTGGGCTTTTTGAGAATAAATAAGAGAGAGAGAACCCCTTCCAATGAGGACATTGACCTATGAAAGAAAGAACTGGAAAGTCCCTGGCTCATTCTACACAAAGGTTAAAGTTTTGAGAAGCACCTACAACATTATCTGTCCATTATCTTATCTCCTCCAGACTGACTCTCCCACTGGACATTCCTCTTTTGGTTTAAGGTACCAATTTTTCCCTCAGGTGAGAGTACTTTCCAAATGTTACTTGCTCATATTATCATTAACAAAAGTAATCTTATTGGCTGGAATGGGTAATACAAATAACCACTAAACCACCATAAACAATGTTTCACATATAATTTCGGGAGGTTTCTGGCCCCAAAATGAAAAAGCAATATTGTCATCAGTAAAAAGAAGGAAAAGGGACAATGCCCTTCTATAATATTTTCTATTAGAAAGTCTCTGAACTTTCACAGTGCCAAGGGGAGAAGATTAGATTCAGGAGCTCACTTTTTATCTTCCTAAGTATCTGGATTAGAAAGAAAGAAGATTGATAAGTAAAACAGACAGACAATGCAGCCACCTACAGCTGGTAATGCTGCTTGGTGCAAAGCAGAGAAAGTGCCCCCTAGGCCCCTCTAGACTTTACTACCACCTGCCAATTAATTGTCATTGTGAGTATATCAATCTATAATGTCTACATGTGAATGGTGCCCTCTAGGGTTGTCCCAAGGACATGCACACCAGCTACATAGAGCCTGGAAGATTATTAAATAGCCAAAGAACAAGATCCAGGAGGACAGGCTAATTCAAATGAGAAGCATGACAAGTATCTCTTATACAAAAGGCAACAACCAGCGTTTTTGTTCACATGAACCAGAGACAAAGCAAAAGGAAGAAGGCTTCAGACACAGCATGAAAAATTTAGGCTACAGGGAGGAAGAACCGCCTAATAAGAGTGATGGAAATACTCTGGCTAGAGTTGCTTAAGGTGATCTAGCATTTCCTTTCTGGGGCTTCAGAAACATTTTCATTTGCATGTGCATATCTGCCCTTGCTTATGCATTCACAATTCTCCCTCAGTTTTGAGAAGGAAATACCAGACTTTCTTTGCCTGACACAACTTACAACTTCTAAGCTAGTATAAAGATTAATAGATTGGAGTCAAAAATACCTGGGTATACATCCCAGCTCCAGCCCTTACTTATCAATGGAGGGTTTAGCCACGCCCATTAGGTCCATTAACTCTCAGATTAAATGTCACCACCCCATAGAAGGCTGCCTTATGAAACACCTAAGTAGGTTTCCCACCATCTCCCGAGTATGTTCTATCTCAGCCCCCTTATTAGTTTCCTTCCCATCACTTACTGCAACTTGCACTTTTATATTTGTTTATTTCCTCGCTTTGTTTTCTGTCACCCCATTAGAATGAAAAAAAAAATGTGCATTGTAATCACTTGTGTATATTCCCAGCACCCAGAGCCCTACCCGGTCTAAGGCAACCGCTCAGTATCTGATGAACCATTGAACCTTTTTTCTCGTCTATAAATGAGAAGTGTGCTGCATTTGCTGTGAAGAACACAACATAAAGGATGGGGCTGGCTGTCCCAGACTGCTCTCCAGTCATACGGCTCCATGGTTGCTCACTTCCCAGGCACAAGTCATCATCAACAGCAACATCTGGAAAGGCTAAAGGCAGAACCTCCTGGGGTTTGCAAACCCATCAAATCCTAGCAATGTCTCCCCTTTTATCTCATCACTACTCTTGTGTCATAATCAACTGTCTCCAGGAGTGGACAGGGGTGGGCAGGCTGGACTCAAGAGACTCAGTGTTTCCACTGCAATCACCCTGTGGCTTTCTGCACAACATCTGGGGCAGTGGTGCACCTGCAAGTACCTTCCATCATTTCCTTGTGGGGCTCTTCTGAGGATGGAACATCACAATGGCATCTGTGACAGTTAATTTTATATATCAACATGGCCAGGCTCTGGGGACCAATCGTTCAGTCAAATACTAGTATAGATGCTGCCGTGAAGGTGTTTTGTAGATGTGGTTAGCACTAACACTCAATAGACTTTAAGTAAAGCAGATTACCCTTCGTAACGTGGGTGGGTCTCCTTCAATCAGCTGAAGACCTTAAGAATAAAGACTGAGGTTCCCAGAGAAGGAATTCTGCCCCAAGACTGTAACATAGAAATCCTGCCAGTTTCCAGCCAGCTGGTCTACCCTATGAATCCTGGATTTGCCGGACTCCATAATCACATGAGCCAATTCCTTAAAATAAATCTCTCCCTCATATTATACATATGTAAATTATATATATACATATCTATTAAATATATATTAAGTATCTTTATATATTATAGTTATAACTATGTATTAAATGGTTATTAAATATGAATGTTCATAAATATATGAATACATATCGTGTGTGAAATATAATGAATATAAATCATATGTGAAATTTTTTATGTGTATTTTCTTCTGGGGTTAGGATCCATTACTTCATCAGATTCTCAGAGCAATATTCCCTAAAATTTCATATGAGAGAATATATATAGACTAAGAGGGAGAGAGAACCAATAGTATATACAGTGGGATATATACAGAAACATTAGAGCATTTCTCAGAGTTTGTGATTTTTACATTCAGAGAATCTGCCTTTTCCATAGTGATGAAAAGCTGTTTTTTTATCCTCTCTCAGGGAATGTTCAAGAACATCATGGTACCCAGCGAGAGGAATGACCCTTGAGAGTGACCTGTTTACAAGTGCCTTTCTGGCCTCCTCAGAATCACTTAACCTAGGCCACCCTTCCGTAATTCAGAGAAAATCAAAACCACAGTTTAGAGCCTCAAAAAAGTTCATGTAGTGGGGAAATGAAGAGCTCCTCAGAGTTCTGACGCAAATGGAAAAGACTTTTTTCCACCTCCAGTTACCCCTCTGGGCCCTTTCACCACCTGGAAAAAAACAGTGGTACATGATTGAACAAGTAAGTACTGCTCCCTCCCTCTTGAATTCCGTTTTTTAAAGAATCTCTTTTCTAAAAATACAAGGAATTCTATGAATCTTTTTTCTGCTTCTGAAGTATTTTCTACAGAATCTCTCTAGTACTTGCAAAAGTGGTGATTATGAATGACTAAACAGTCTTGCATATATTTCTGGAATACTTGGAAATGCCTCTGTTATTTTTGGAAATATGTGCTTGTTCAGGTTATTCTGGCAATGGGCAGCTACTGAAAAAATTCTTTCGTGATAAAAAGCCTGTAGCTCCACCTACTGCTTCCTCAAAGATGACAGCCAGGGTTTCAGCACTGAAAAATACAGACGGAGGTCCAGCGAAACAGCTCTATTTTCGATACAAAGCTCATTTTGCTTTCGGTAAAAGTTAGCCAATAGGTTTCCACCACTGGCAAAGCTAATAGATATAGCCCATACATTATGTATTACAAGTAAAAGTGTGAAATAAAAGCAGGCAAGGAATGAATTGTTTGAGGGTTTTGAAATATATATCAGCGTCGTTGCCAACATCTGCTGAAAAGTGAGACAGATGGAAGAAGTCCTCAGGGAGCACATGACTTTGGGGAAGGAATGGACATTAAAATATAGGCAAAATATTCACAAGCATGAGGCCTGATAGTATCGGTGCTTCGTGTTTTGCCTGCCTTTGAAGGAAATGGTGACACGGGAGCTGAAGGCAGGAGAGAAGCGAGAGCATCCAAGTCTTTAAATGAATGTTCCTTTCAAAATGATCCAACTCTCCTCTCCCCGGTCTTTGCTCGTGGCTCACTCACACAGGATCTGATCCAAGAAACAATTTCCGATGGAATTAATTCTTTTGTTTCAACTTTTTCCACTGCTACCAAACCGTTACAGCAAACTTTCTTCTCTAATTTCTAGAACCTCAACCACAATGGATTATGCTATTCTTCTCTCAAAATGCCATTAAGAAGTGCCAACAAGGAAACTTTTTTTTTCTTCTCTACTCTTTTATTCCAGTGAGTCTCAGATGCTTTTCAGGTAAAATTCAGTTTCTCTCTACCACAGCTAAACAGAAATACATGTTTCCCATTTTCCATTTGAAACAGTGAGGAGTGGCTAAACTAGAACATACAACTGGGGAGAACACGAAGAATGACGATGTCAGTCAGGTCCAGGCAGATAACATTTTTGTTGTTAAATCTAGAGGATTTTTCATTTTTTTCTGCTTTCATTAACAGGACTTAGCTGCTTAAAATTGTATCCAGCTTTGGTTTCATGTTAACACAGTATCTTGTAATTATACCAACCATAACATTTTATTTTGCACCTTTACATTTTGGGGTAGAGCTTTGTTTGGACAACTTTTAATTTGATATCATTTTAACCCTCCAGAGAAATTGCCAGAATCATACCAGTACCTCCCATGTACCCTTTACCCAGATCCAAATGGGGTAAACTGTAAAAATTCCGACCCACTCATTTTTATCAATCTCTCTATATGTCGTTTTTTTCCTACTAATTTGAGAATAAACTGCAAGCATCATGCTCCTTTACTCCTGAATAAGTTAGTGTATACTCCCTAAAAGAAGGACATTCTCTTACATAACCCAGTACAATTATCAAAATCTAGGAGACTTAACATTGGTGTAATTCTACTATCTATCTAATTCACAGCCCATATTCAAATTTCACCAGTGATCCCAAAAATGTGTTTATGGCTGTAATTTTTATTCCAGCCCAGGATCCAACCCAGACTCACACCTTTTGCTTCATTGTTCTCTATCTTTGGTCTCCTTTGTTTTACAGTGGTTTGTCACCCTCTCTTTATCTTTGATGACCTTGACACTTTCAAAGAGTCCAGGCCAGCTCTTTTAGAGAGCGTGCCCCATTTGGGGCTATGCCTCTTTACTTTCTTCTATTGCAGAAATGATGTGTTCTCAGTGTATCACATCAAGAGAGACATGATGTTGGCAGTGCTAACTTTGATCACAGTATGAGATGGTGCTCGCCAATTTTCTCCCTCCATAATTAACAAGTTGTGGGGACACACTTTAAGATTATGAATATATCTTGTTCCTCATCACACCTCACTTACTAGTTTTAGTATGCATTTTTCCTGAATTAATTATTTCTAATGACGGGTGCAAAATCATGATTTTTCTAATTGTATCATCCTTTCTACATTTACTAGTTGGCACACTATTTTTCACCTACCTTATTTCAATATCACCCTTTTGAAATTTCAATTGCAAACCAGAAGCCTGTTCACAAAGACCTAAGCTGCTTCTTGATCTGAATGAGATTTCTGAAAAGCTTGTGGGTATTAAATCTTATAGAAAAATATGAAATATTCCCTTCAAACCCTTTAAGCAAATTCTTCCAAAAACTACGAACGACAAAATCAAAACAAAAACAAAGTTGCACCTACGTTAATACTGAATGATTTGATTGGGAAAATGAGAACCATCAAATTTAAAATAGAGTACAATAAGGGTCTTCACTTTGGAGTCGTGAGAAAAAAGACAGTAAAAAGAGAAGTGGCCTCACAGAGGCCAGGAGACAGTGTCTCCTCCCCCCGAGAATCGAGGGAACCATTCATCCTAAGACATTGCTACCTGAGGCCACTGTTCAATCCATACAGACTTGAAGGAATCTGGGAAGATCATGTGACTCATCTCTAACCCCACCCCTTCGTGCCAGTGGGTCCCCACGTAACAGTCTCCTCAGATGCAGAATGAACCTGCCTTTAAGACCTGCAGAAACCTCCACCCTCTACCAAAGAGCAATGCTTCATGCCAGAAAGTCCTGTATAGCTAACCAAGGCCCTTCAGCCCCTTTCCTGTCAGTATTATCCTCGGCGTAACAGCCGGTATAAGAAAATTCGATCTCTTGAATCCTGTGAAAGTTTGGTTTATTCAGCAACTATTTACTCTCGTTCTCCTTTTTTTGTGGGTGAAGTTTACTTCTCTGCTCCACTGACATTGGACTTGGCCACATGAGTTGCCTTGGCCAATGGGATGTTAACAGAGAGGACACGAATATGTATGCTTCCACAGTTTGGCTTGGCCTCCTACATCTCTGGATAGCAGTGGCAAGAGCATGCCCTGGGCAGAAATCCACTCCTCTTGCAGCAGAGGAGCCTTGTCTGCAAGTTCCCTTGCTTTTTAAACCTACCAACTAGCATCTGGAGTAGCCTCTTTCTTAGGTCTCTCCTTGCCCTCAGTGTACGGGGTCAGTGAAACAGATTTTACCCAGGAAACCTCTGAGGTTGTGACCCCAAACAGCTAATCTTGGATAAGGTTAAATTTATAAATAAAAAGAATATGAAGGCAATGGGCAAGTAAAGGTCATTTCCCTTATTTAGTAATGTTATCCACTCAGCATTGTGTCAGGAGGGCTACACCAAAGTCCCAAGACTCCTCTGGAAAACAATAAAATCTTAAAGTAGGGAGAGATGGATAATTGGGCCTCATCATAAAACAACAATAAAAGTAAACGAACACAATACAAAGATGTGCTATTATTCTATTCAGTCCTAGACTGGACATACTGGACTTTTAGTTGAATAAGATAATATATGAACCTACTCTCTTTTGAGGTGTCTGGGGACCCCATGTGATAATAGCCCACTTAAAGCTAGCATATTTATCAAGGGCACCCAAAGATAGGCATAATTTCTGATAAATAGCCAAGAAATTTCATTCCATTTGCAATAAAAAGATGATCAGAGCAAAGTTTTAAGGATACTGAATATCCAAAAACAAACAAAGAATATTCCCTGGATACTGTTCAGCCTGAGTCCCCACAAAAAAATACACCTAGAGTAGAGCTGAACCCAACTCACAGTCTGGATCTAAGACCAGCCAATCATCACACTGTAGCAGAGTCACCCACATGAGCCCACTTTAGACCAACTAAACCACAACTCCCCTGCAGACCCATGACCATGAGAATAAATGGTGGTTGCAAATCACAGAGTTGGGGGATGGTTTGGTTTGTCATACAGTATTACTATGGCATAGCTGACTGATACAAATACCATAATGAAGTCCTTCTCTACTTCTGTCTGTCTCCAGATTAAATAACCTCAGTTCCAAATCACCCTATCATAAGGCTCTATTTTGATGTTATTCCATTACCTCATTCTCTCTTTTCTTAACTGTCTCTATAAGAAACTCCTGCTCTGTTTTGTGACTTACAGAACATCTTTCCTCCAGAAAATGTATTAAAGATTCCAGGAAGCCTGACTTTAAGGCATTTGTTTGGACTTATCTCCTGGCATGATAACTCAAAAAAAGGTTGCATAAGATAAAAATCTAAACAAGTGACAGAAGAGACAGAATGAAATTACCTGCAAAATGGGTCCCCTAACCTGTATAATCTTATGAACTCTAAGGTTACAATAAACTTGGGAGTAAATAAAGTATTATTCTACTCAAGGTCAGCTTCAGGGTCCCATGCTTACAAGGGCCCTATGCCTAGTTTAATGCTCTGTTGTCACCATATTAAAATTTTCAATTGTTTTGAGAAAGGGCTCCTCGATTTTATTTTGCACTGGGCCCCACAAACTACGTAGCTCATTCTGATGGTACAAGCCAATTCCCAATCTGAAGTCTGCTCCTTCATTTCCTCTGCTAAGGCTTCTGTTCGGGCTCTCATCTCTTCTTCCTTAGAATACTTGAAAGAATTTCTAATTATTCTACTCCCCTTTTTTCTTCCCTGCCCCTATCTTCTCCTCTAGAATACACAGATCATATCATGCCACACCCCTAAAATCTTTCAATGAATCCTCATTGCATGCAGGAAAAAGTTCACATTTTTTTAGCAAGGCATAAATGTCCATTACAAGGGTAGTACAACCTCCATTCAGCCTCTCCATGCTTTCCCCTTACCTCCTTCTGTCACCCTCTATTACTGTCCCAGAATGACTGCCCCAGATTTCCTTGTCCTCCCCTCTCCTTGTCCCATCTTTGCTCATTCCTCTGCCTAGAATGTCCTTCCCCTCAATCCTCTTGTCTTGAGAGTACTGGACCAAACGTGACCTCCACAGTCTTCCCTGTCCTCTCTCCTACTCCATACAAATTCCTGACTCCTCATTTGGGCAGCATGTGAACAAACTTCTATTACAGCACTTAACATAAGCACCGTAATGGTTTATTTACTGCCCTCCAAACAAACTGTGAGCTTCCAGAGTCAGAAAGCATACCCTGTTCACCTTTCTGCCCTTAGTTCAATGACTAGCATGTAGAAGGCATCAACAGTAGGCATTCAGAGGATCACTGAATTTGAATGGTCTCATAAGTAATAAGGAAACTTAGATCTAAGTGTTTTAGTTATTCATTCAAAGTCATCCTATTAAGTTCATGGCATAGCCAGGATTCAGTCTCAGTCTCGGGCCACTTGATTCTTGGTTCAGGACACCCTGTCGTCTTCTCCTCATGGCTTTTCCAGTGACGTATCAGTCATTTCCCCCACTAATCCATGAAGTAACTCACCCCTTCTGTGCTTATCCAAGGTATGAAGCAGCATATACTGTGCCCCTCCTAGAAATTCTTCCAAAATATAGATTGTCAGATCTGGGGGAGTTCTTAGAGACTGCTGTTCCACCTCTTGGTTTCACCCAAGAGAAAGAAGAAACCAAAGAGGGGAAGACTCTCTCCCTGGGTTGCACAATCAGATACCAGCTATGCCGAGTCTCAGGCCAGTGCTCATATCACTGACCACAGTGCCTTGTCATTAGAGGCAAGAATCCAGATTAAAATGCTTGATCACTGCGAATAACTGTATTGGCTCCCTAACAGCTTTCAGTGGACTGATTTCCTTCTCCCCTGGGCTGAGCAGAGGACTATCTGAAAGTCACACAGTGCTCTGAAGTCTTTCAGCTTTTATCACCACCAAAGTGTGGTCTCTATCCAAGCACACATGGGTTCCACCTTGTTCAAACACATGGTGGAGGAACCTCCAGGTCTTCTCCACATGCCCTACCCCCTCCGTAAAAGCATGTCTGAACTTACCTGATGTCTCCATTCTAAAAAAAAATAGCTCTGAGGGAAAGATTTGTATTAATAAAAGCTGCAAGAGGATTCCATATCTATCTCCAAATACTCAGTGGGTGTTGTTCAGAGAATAATCATGGCCTCTTTTCCAGCAGCTCTGAGGAGAGAATGAGAAAACTGTTCCAACTCCAGCCTGAGGGATCCAAAGTAGACACCGGAAAGAAGAGGGATACGGGACACAGAATGGGAGGCTGGAAACAGACTTCTGATAATCTGAACTCGTTAGGAAAGAGTGGATTAAAATTTCATAAATCAAGGGTTAACAAAGGGTTAAGCAAACAGAATATTCCAAGTAGTCTCATTGGCAATTTTGGCAACACCTTAAAAGAAAATGATGTTTGTTGGTCTCTGGAATTTGTCCCCCCAGAAAATTTGGGATTAAAGCTACTTGTTGAGGGCATATAATCTGGAAGAGGAATTAACTGGGGGCCAGAGCTTTTTGGTCAGCTGGTGCTTGCTTCCTCCTAGTCCTTTGTCATGGACACATTCACTATGAAATAGAAGAAAGACAACTGAGGGGCGCCTGGGTGGCTCAGTCAGTTAAGCGGCTGCCTTCGGCTCAGGTCGTGATCCCAGGGTCCTGGGATCGAGCCCCACGTCTGGCTCCCTGCTCAGTGGAGAGCCTGCTTCTTCCTCTCCCTCTGCCTGCCACTCTGCCTACTTGTGCTTGCTATCTCTCTGTCAAATAAATAAATAAAAATCTTTAAAAAAAAAAAGAAGAAGAAGAAGAAGAAGACAGACAACTGAGCCACAATCAGAAGGCCTGGTGGAAACATGTTGTTCCTCTGCTCTTTGTGTCCTTATTTGAAATATGAGGATTAGGAAGGAGCAAGGACTTTGATTGTGGGCAGATCAATCCAAATCCCAACTCATGGGATTTTAATGGCATTTAATGTCTCTGAGTTTCACTTTCCTCTTCTCTAAAATGAAAAATATATCATCTATCTCACAGGAATTTTGTGAGAGATCAAATTAGTTAAAGGCACAATGTCTCCATTGCACTCAGTTTAAATATATTCACATATTCTTTCCCATCTTTTCCCACATAGAGCTTTCGGGAGGAGTAAATAATGTAATATACATGCCTGACACATAATCATCACATAATAAATGTTCACTTTCTCTTCTCTCCCTTCCCACTCCACCATCATTATAATGAGGGATTTGTAATAGCTAATCCCTAAAAATCCCTTCTAATTCTGCAATTCTACTTATGCATTCTCTGCTTCACCACTGTGCTTTATTTGTATATCTTTGGATCCAGCATAGCAGCAAGCACGATTATGTGCCTTAATTAGTATTCATAGCATTGGATTACGTTTCCCCAGTAAACACCAGGTTTGGGATAAAGCACATGTTCTCTGTGTCTCTAGAACTAGACCCTAAAGGAAGTAATTCCGCTTCCTAACATACGAGGAGGTTGTCAGAGGTAAGTTACAGTCTTGCCCAGCACAGCACTGACATCACCGACTTCCGCAGAAAAGCAGTTCATACCGCATTCCTCTTGGCACTTCACATATGGAGTATCTTCATGAAATCATATGGCTGCTTTCTAGAATTCAGCAGGCATCTCTAGCAGCTAGTTGCATTTAAAAAACTACCATATCAGTCTGCTATTTTTAGACAGTGCCCACAGCTCAAAGGGGGCCATCAAAGATCTCCCTTTGAATCCATATTTGATTGTTGGCCAAATTTTCCATATCCTGTTCTAGGCCGCTTCAAAAACATCTGTTTCGATTAAAGAGTGATCAGGAAAGTGCTCTCATGTTATAGAGGAAACAGGCTTCGTTTAATATGAATTGCTGGCACTATAAACCCTTGTTTCGAAGCTGAAGGGGCGATCATCAACATCTGTGCCAAATCCAGTAAGACAGGCTGGGCCATGCTGAACACAGACCACATGACTCAGTTCTGGGAAGAATCGCCCTAAAATGTGGGACTGGTGAAGTTACAGGGAAAGGTCTCTATCACTCAGGTTTGGCATATATCACCCCAACTAGATATGAAAAAAGAAAAGAAAATTTATGGAGAAACCATACTCCATGCCACACTTGGGTGCTCTTGATCCCAATTAATTGGCAGTAA